TATTTTAGGAAAAAATAAAAATCATGCGAAACTGCCTGTTAAATGCGTACCGTATGCATGCAACAGGCAGTTTGGCACCAAAGATACCTGTCAACGTCATCAAAATACGAAAGTTATTACAATTAATTACACCTTTACTTCCCTTGTATCTCCTGTTTGTTTAAGATGTAAATTGCAGTTTGTGTTAGGCTTCTGAAACATTAATAAACCGATTATTACGTTCAGATACATTATTTACTGCAGAAGTTGCTTGTTTCCGAAAAAATTAAGTAAGTACTGCATTATGCGTACTGTACGCAAGCAGCAACAGTTTGACACACACGCTAAAATTTATAAAATGTCATAGTCAGCAAAATGAGAAAATTATGACAATTAATGACGTTTTTGATTTCTAAGTATATCACTTTTGCTGAAATTTTAAGTTTTCGCTTGAATTGGACCATAACACCATTAAAAACCTCTAATTAGTTTGTCCAATAAATACGTAAATCCATGGCAACTTAAGCTAAATGCGAAAGTAGTGAAACTTAATTTTGTTTTTACTTCTGTTTGCTAATGATGTGAATTTCCGACTGAGTAGGTCTGTTAGGACATCAGCACCCACTTAACATGTCCAGACACAATTCATAATGTAGAAATATACTTTTTTTTAAATAACAAAACATATACTACATAATACTTACACTTAGCTTGCTCAGAATATTCTTACGCGTAATATAAAGTCTTTTGTTGTTAAAAATCCCTTTTTTTAGAGATGAAATATTTTAGGAAAAAATAAAAATCATGCGAAACTGCCTGTTAAATGCGTACCGTATGCATGCAACAGGCAGTTTGGCACCAAAGATACCTGTCAAGGTCATCAAAATACGAAAATTATTACAATTAATTACACCCTTACTTCCCTAGTATCTCCTGTTTGTTTAAGATGGAAATTGCAGTTTGTATTAGGCTTTTGAAACATTAATAAACCGATTATTACGTTCAGATACATTATTTACTGCAGAAGTTGCTTGTTTTCGAGAAAATTAAGTAAGTACTGCATTATGCGTACTGTACGCAAGCAGCAACAGTTTGACACACACGCTAAAATTTATAAAATGTCATAGTCAGCAAAATGAGAAAATTTTGACAATTAATGACGTTTTTAATTTCTAAGTATATCACTTTTGCTGAAATTTTAAGTTTTCGCTTGAATTCGACCATTACACCATTAAAAACCTCTAATTAGTTTGTCCAATAAATACGTAAATCCATGGCAACTTAAGCTAAATGCGAAAGTAGTGAAACTTAATTTTGTTTTTACTTCCTTAACCACTTCTGTTTGCTGATGATGTGAATTTCCGACTGAGTAGGTCTGTTAGGACATCAGCACCCACTTAACATGTCCAGACACAATTCATAATGTAGAAATATACTTTTTCTTAAATAACAAAACATATACTGCATAATACTTACACTTAGCTTGCTCAGAATATTCTTACGCGTAATATAAAGTCTTTTGTTGTTAAAAATCCCTTTTTTTAGAGATGAAATATTTTTGGAAAAAATAAAAATCATGCGAAACTGCCTGTTAAATGCGTACCGTATGCATGCAACAGGCAGTTTGGCACCAAAGATACCTGTCAACGTCATCAAAATACGAAAGTTATTACAATTAATTACACCTTTACTTCCCTTGTATCTCCTGTTTGTTTAAGATGTAAATTGCAGTTTGTATTAGGCTTCTGAAACATTAATAAACCGATTATTACGTTCAGATACATTATTTACTGCAGAAGTTGCTTGTTTCCGAAAAAATTAAGTAAGTACTGCATTATGCGTACTGTACGCAAGCAGCAACAGTTTGACACACACGCTAAAATTTATAAAATGTCATAGTCAGCAAAATGAGAAAATTATGACAATTAATGACGTTTTTGATTTCTAAGTATATCACTTTTGCTGAAATTTTAAGTTTTCGCTTGAATTGGACCATAACACCATTAAAAACCTCTAATTAGTTTGTCCAATAAATACGTAAATCCATGGCAACTTAAGCTAAATGCGAAAGTAGTGAAACTTAATTTTGTTTTTACTTCCTTAACCACTTCTGTTTGCTAATGATGTGAATTTCCGACTGAGTAGGTCTGTTAGGACATCAGCACCCACTTAACATGTCCAGACACAATTCATAATGTAGAAATATACTTTTTCTTAAATAACAAAACATATACTGCATAATACTTACACTTAGCTTGCTCAGAATATTCTTACGCGTAATATAAAGTCTTTTGTTGTTAAAAATCCCTTTTTTTAGAGATGAAATATTTTTGGAAAAAATAAAAATCATGCGAAACTGCCTGTTAAATGCGTACCGTATGCATGCAACAGGCAGTTTGGCACCAAAGATACCTGTCAAGGTCATCAAAATACGAAAATTATTACAATTATATAATTACACCCTTACTTCCCTAGTATCTCCTGTTTGTTTAAGATGTAAGTTGCAGTTTGTATTAGGCTTTTGAAACATTAATAAACCGATTATTACGTTCAGATACATTATTTACTGCAGAAGTTGCTTGTTTTCGAAAAAATTAAGTAAGTACTGCATTATGCGTACTGTACGCAAGCAGCAACAGTTTGACACACACGCTAAAATTTATAAAATGTCATAGTCAGCAAAATGAGAAAATTTTGACAATTAATGACGTTTTTAATTTCTAAGTATATCACTTTTGCTGAAATTTTAAGTTTTCGCTTGAATTGGACCATTACACCATTAAAAACCTCTAATTAGTTTGTCCAATAAATACGTAAATCCATGGCAACTTAAGCTAAATGCGAAAGTAGTGAAACTTAATTTTGTTTTTACTTCCTTAACCACTTCTGTTTGCTGATGATGTGAATTTCCGACTGAGTAGGTCTGTTAGGACATCAGCACCCACTTAACATGTCCAGACACAATTCATAATGTAGAAATATACTTTTTCTTAAATAACAAAACATATACTGCATAATACTTACACTTAGCTTGCTCAGAATATTCTTACGCGTAATATAAAGTCTTTTGTTGTTAAAAATCCCTTTTTTTAGAGATGAAATATTTTTGGAAAAAATAAAAATCATGCGAAACTGCCTGTTAAATGCGTACCGTATGCATACAACAGGCAGTTTGGCACCAAAGATACCTGTCAAGGTCATCAAAATACGAAAATTATTACAATTATATAATTACACCCTTACTTCCCTAGTATCTCCTGTTCGTTTAAGATGTAAATTGCAGTTTGTATTAGGCTATTGAAACATTAATAAACCGATTTTTACGTTCAGATACATTATTTACTGCAGAACTTGCTTGTTTTCGAAAAAATTAAGTAAGTACTGCATAATGCGTACTGTACGCAAGCAGCAACAGTTTGACACACACGTTAAAATTTATCAAAATGTCACAGTCAGCGAAATGAGAAAATTATGACAATTAATGACGTTTTTAATTTCTAAGTATATCATTTTTGGTGAAATTTTAAATTTTCGCTTGAATTGGACCATTACACCATAAAAAATCTCTAGATGTCAATTTCCGACTGAGTTGGTCTGTTGGAACATCAGCAACCACTTAAAATGTCCAAACACAATTTATAATGTGATGTTTTTTTTTTAATAAAAAAAATATGTATACTGTACGTATAATACTTACACTTACCTTGCTCCGAATATTCTTACGCGTAATATAAAGTCTTTTGTTGTTAAAAATATTTTTTTAATGATTAAATATTTTAGGAAAAAATAAAAATCATGCGAAACTGCCTGTTAATTGCGTACCGTACACATGCACCAGGCAGTTTGGCACACAAGAAAATAGCTGTCAGTCACCAAAATACGAAAATTTAAACAGTTAATAATGCCTTTGGTTCCCAGTACTAGAATTGTTTGTTAAAAATTTGAATTACTGCTTGAATTGGTCTGTTGAAATATTAAAAACCACTTATCTTGCCCAGATGCAATCTATACTGCAGACATTCCATGTTGTTGATAAAATGAAGCAAATACCTAATACAAATACTAAGTGTAACATGCTCAGAATGTTCGTACGCTAACACGAATTCAACAGGCAGTTTCGCATTTTTTTTCCAAAAAATTATAGATTCAAAAAAGAACTGGTTTTCTACAACAAAAGGCCTTGCGTTATACGTAAGAAAATTTTGAGCATTCTACACGTAGTACTGCGCAGTATTTGGTTCAAATTTTCACATTTCTCAAAACAAAGTATTTCTGCAATATAAATTGTACCTGGACTGAGGACTAGTGGTGGAAGTCAAACACTTACGCACGCCGAACTTTGGCATTATTCACTATTTTCCGATTTTGCTTATGATAAATATTCTCATACTGCCATCTACCAGTGGAAAGAAGAAATTCTGCTTTCAATTAATGATTTTCTGTTGCATGTTTGTCGATCCTTTACCATGTTGCCAAATCTCGTGCCGAACTGCCTACCGGGTGCGGTGGTAGTTTGGCACCAGTGCGAAAGTGCACAAAATATGCCAAACTGACTGAAATTTACTCGAAAAATGTGCGGAAAAGCCCACTTTATGAACATATATATATATATATATATATATATATATATATATATAGATATATTTACTGTACAAGTCGAGATCATTTAGTGATATTTTTTGTACAAGTAGAGATCCATTCTGGCAAGACGAGATCCAATTTGGATCTCGACTTGTTTCATGTGTATATCTTCACCAAACAATTTTTATAGGTGGGGGAAGGACGTCACTGCATTATTTGTCGGATCTCGGATTTCACATTTTTATCAATTTTTATACGAGAGTAGTTCAGGTGGGCACACCAACGAGGGCGCTGCAATGCTCAGGCTGTATATAACATTCTATCAATAAGTCGAGATCCAACAGATCTTGCAACATCGCAACAGTTTTTATTATAAGTTTTAACAAAACGACGGCGATTATTGAATTACAACAGAATTAAAATAGTAAAATGACAAAAAATAGGAATATTACAATTTTATTTATTTTTGTAAGTATTATAAACAAAAACTTTAATTTGTACCCAAGTCTTGTTCATAAATGAATCTAAATTGTCTTGTTGTAATTTTAAGCATTCCGCTTTTTTCGGCGAAATTTTGTTTTTAATATGATTTTTAAAATAATTTAACATTATGGACTTTTGCTTGTCGTTCCATGTTCCACGACATTTCTCTTTTTTGGGTTTTTCTTTAGATATCTTTTTCTTTTTGAGTGGAGAATCATCAGACATAGTTTGAGCTTTGTGCTTGTTGGTTTGCGTAACGTTAACACTAGTCACAGACATAGTTGGCATGTCTAGTCTAATTCTTTCATCTTCTTCCTTTGGTTCATCATGTGCGCTTTTTTCCTCCAAATCATGGTCCTCTGATTCTAAAAAAATAAACAAGTCAAAAAACTGGTTATTATTTGTTATTTTGTTTATGTTACTATTTGTATGTTTTAAACTTAAAAAAAATTAAAATAATAGCGGGAAGTTACCACTTCCAGGGTCTTCAAGAGATTTTCCATTCCACGATTCCAATTCGACGTTGATTTCATCAAGAGTTTTACCCTGATTTTGGCTGCCGACTCCCCTTTCCATCATTAGAAGTAACTTGGCTATTTTTGCAGTTTGAAAAACGTCCTGCGGCATCCTTAAAAAAAGAAAGATATATAGGTTCTCGAAATATTGTTATTTTTACATATCCACAAGCTATATACTAAATATCCTACCTATAAAATTGTTCGTGGGTTTTTTTGGTATGGCCCATAAAGGTGGCCACTTGCTCCATTTCAGTGTCATTAAGGTTTAAAATCTGTAGGACTGTTGCAATTTGTTTTCTAAGGCGAGAAGAGGTTAGAGTACCAGGATTTTTGGCCCCACATTTGACTGCATATCTTCTTAATACGGCTGATCCATCCACCCATTTAGTTGAGCTTCCTGTTAACGCGAATAAAAATGGATTCTCATGCGGTACGAACGTAGTTTTTCTTCTGACTGATAGAAGTGTTTCTATGTATTTTTGTACATTTTTTGAAAAAAGTATCGGAACTGACCTACTTCCTTTTCCCACTGTGGTAATGCGTTTAAAATGCTTCGATAATTCTCTTTCACATTCATTTAGGGAACTAAGGCACTCCTCTTGGTTGGTACTTGTTGATATTCGATTATAAGATTCTAATTGTGTATATTGTACATCTCCGATTCTCTTCCTATTTAAAATTATTGTCAGAGCCAAAGCCGCTTCCGTAAGTTTTTTGAATGACGTCAAGTTTTCTGAATTCGTTTCTAGTTCTTTCACACATGTTTCCGCAATTTCTTGCGTATAATTTCTGAATAAAATAATATCCTGGGTTACTGGTAATTTCTGCGGATTTATTGATTGCTTTTCATTAAGGTCCTTTAGTGCCAGACTGCTCATTTCAAATTTCCAGTTAGCATCGACCAACTCCCGAAATCCCTTAACATTTTTGAGTGCTATATGTCATAATCGGTAATCCCCAAAATAGGATGTTTTTTTAACATAAGAGTTTTAGCTGAAGAGCATACAGCTAATAATATTGTTTTCATATGAAGAGCAAGAGAAGGCGCTTTAAAGGATCGCTTTGCTTCATTGTAACCCGAAATTATGCGGCTGGCGGAAACTACTTTATCAAAGTGTTCAGGTTTTAACACTTCTAGCATGGAATTAATTTTATAAATATCTTGAAGTGGAATGAGAAGTCTTCCCAATTCCCTCACTTTGTTTGATACCGCATTTTTGATATGTGGTCTTTTATGTTTGCGCAGGTAGTCTTCTGCATATTGACAGATTATTGGGTCACTTTTTCCGTTTAAAGATATTCTGTCAGCACGCATTTTGCTAAACACTTCGCATTTCAATCTTGATTTTTTTAGAAATTCTTGACGAGATTCAGTAAAAGCAATCATTGTCTGACCCTCGCTTGCAAAATTGTGTTTTTGATTAATCTCTTTATTGTAACAGCAAGTAAGGGCGTGCCTCCGTAGAGATTTTTTTTTGTATAATCCTTTACAATAAATGCATGGAAGGTAATCTGTTGGGAGAATTTCATCATTTTTACTTTGTATTGCAGACGGTCTTTGAACCGGCCTCGTTATATTCTCTCCTAGTACTGTAAAATTCCCTTGCTTTCTTATGAGATCAATCATAATTTTTCTTTTGCGTTCACCTTTTGGCTGTTCAAGGATTTTTCGTACACTTTCTTCTTCTGCATGTTTTCTAAAAAGATGTCTTGAAAAATTAGTGACGTCTTTATCACAGTAAGAGCAGCGATCCTTTTTGTCCCATACTCTTCCCTTACGTAGACTGTGTTCCACAGGATTTTTATGAATTGGTCTTCGAGTGGAACCCTGAAAGAATGGTATTTTAACATCATAGAGTAAGTTGCAAGAACTTTTTCCTACTCGTTGCTATGGACGACGTCTGGCAAAAGCTATTTCACAACGTCGTCAATACCAACGTACGGAAAGAAAGACAGATTGGAGAAATGTCATTAATTTGACTTTTGTTGTGGAAACTTGTTTGCATTTTTTCTTCAGATATTAGGGATAACGAGTAGAAAAAATTATGTGAGACACACGGCCACAAAATGTTTTGCGAGTGCTTGTGTTGTTCCGCCTGGACTAGCGTCTCTCGGCTCCACATTATCACTCGCACTCGCAAACATGCATTTTCTGGTCTTGTGTCACAAATAACTATTGCTAGACGTCGTCCATAGCAACGAGTAGGAAAATAGTATATTATTAGCCAAGGTTGCAAAGCCAAGCATTCTAGACCGAGCGCAAATTAGAAGCCGAGACTCGCAGTGTCGAGGGCTCTGAAGGGCGAGGTCTAGAAGTGGCTTTGCAACCGTGGTTAATATATTATTTTTTTCACTAGTAGAAACCATAAGACAATAAATTGAAAAAATAAACGTTCAATTTTTTGACGCAACATGATTTTATTTTGATTTCTAATCAAACTTGATCTAAATCTTCAGCACAAAGAAAACCGTTTACACTTGTCGCTGAATTAATCATTTTATCTTCCACCGTCTACCAACTACCATGCGTATACTCAAGTAATGTTAGTATCACACATTTATTCATTTTTTAAGAAATAATCACATCAAGTATTGCGTACATAACCTCAATCTTCTTTTTGAACCCGTGGTCGCAAAAGTTGAAATTGCTACCTCTAAATGAGTGGACATGCTTCATAGCTGCTAGTGAAAACAATTTTTTTTTCACTAGCAGCCATGATCCATGCAAATGTCGACTGATTTAGAGGTAGCAAATTCAACTTTTGCGACCACCGGTTCAAAAAGAAAAATTGAGGTTATGTACGCAATGTTTGATGTGATTATTTCTTAAAAAATGAACAAATGCGTGCTACAAACATTACTTGAGTATACGCATGGTAGTTGGTAGACGGTAGAAGATAAAATGATTAACTCAGCGACAAGTATAAACGGTTTTCTTTGTGTTGACGATTTAGATTAAGTTTGATTAGAAATCAAAACAAAATCATGTTGCGTCAAAAAATTAAACGTTTATTTTTTCAGTTTATTGTCTTATGGTTTCTACTAGTGAAAAAAATAGTATATTTGTTATTAACCACGGTTGCAAAGCCACTTCTAGACCTCGCGCTTCTGAGCCCTCGACGCTGCGCGTCTCGGGTTCTAATTTGCGCTCGGTCTAGAATGCTTGGCGTTGCAACCTTGGCTAATAATAAATATACTATATTCTCAGGCTAAAGTGATACGCGCTATAATGTAAAAACCTCGTATTTCTGATACATAGGCTACGTACTTATATGAATGTATTCAATAAAAATACGCATACCGATAAATCACAGTCTGATGTAGGTAATGGTTTTGGACTCGTTGGGAGTGGATTTTTCGCGTCAAGAGAACTTTCAATACACTTGACAGGATTTGATGACTGACGTTCCTTTGAAGCGGTCTGAAAATATATAGGTGATTTTCGGGGGATAGACTCGCTTATCTTGGAATAATTATCTTCTGAAGTGACATCATTCTCTTGATTGGGCTTCCAAGAAACCTAAAAGTAATGATATTATCATTGGCAATATTTTATTTTAAATGTAATCAATTGAAATTTCTAGAAGTTTTTTATACAGTAGCGTTATCATTTTTCAGCAAGGATGAGAAAATTTTGAATTTCCAATATAAATAGTTTTTCTACTCCCACATAGTAATCCATGAATTACGAACTGTCTAGCCTCATAGTAAAACCATAGTTACACCCACTGGCATGTAATGAATGAACAGGCACGTAATATATATATATTACGTGCCTGTTTGGGTAGTTTCCATAGCAACTATAAATATTTTTGCTTTCCCAAAAAAAATTCTTCTGAAAGTGATTCTTCATTATAGATCGTAGAAAAAGTATATGACACAACTCTGGTGGTAAGCTAATTACGAACTCATATTACATCACTCGCTCGCTACGCTCGCTCGTGTGTAAACTTCGTTCGTAATTAGCTTCTTACCACCCTCGATATGTAATATACTATACCATCACTGAACAAAAAAACTAGAGCACAGTTGATAACTAGATCATTTTCAAAATTACAGAATTTTAAACATATAAACTGAATAATTTATCCATCCATCTACTTTAAACACATAAGTTGGGTTTTTGTTAAAAAGTATTCCCATCATTTTATGAGATATGGTTGACACCGGATGACATTACGAAAAAAATGATTTTGAAATGGGTTCGGAAAACACATCGATTAATATTTACTAGCAATCAAAGAATTTCGCAGGTTTCGTTTTTTAAATTGCTGCCCCAGTTTCAAGAAAATTTTGATAGAAATCTTGTTCAATTTTGATGATGCGGCACTGATTATAATCTATTTGCATCATCCATAGTTAAATACCGATTGTGTTCTTTGTGTTGTTAGCTTTTTTAACTACAAAAATTTGAGGCGTATATCTTCGCTTAATGCGTTAATAATTATTTTTTACGTCACATCTGTCAAACTTGTAACAATAAAAAAAATCGAAATAAAAACGTTTTTCAATATTTGGCGTGTCCAAAATGTGTCTATTATGCCTTGTCTATTATGCAGACGTGTACCCTTTATTGAAAAACGTGTTTATTATTGTTATAAGTTTGACAAATATGACGTAAAAAATTAATTGTCCGATTCAACATACAACGCCAACATACGTCTCATTATGTGCATATCAGTGGCGCCGAATTAGGTCTGGATTTTGGGATTTTTATCCTTGTATTAGAATGAATAAAAATTACTGGAAATGCCCTCAACTTATTTCAGAGATGTTGTGCTTTAATTTTCCGAACGTATTTCAAAATCACCGTGTATATCTGAATTTCATTTTTAAAATGTAATTATGATTGTCGTTTTGTGACACAATTGACAATTGTAAAATTTCCAGTTTCCAATTTTCTTTGTCCACTGATGGTACGTACCTACTTAAACAACAAATCTGATATTCGATATTTAACTACTTCACTTACTGATGAATCTGCAAATAGGGAACTCTCCGACAAATGCGAATTTTCGTCATCACTATTATGATCTTCCTTTTCGGCGGAATTCTAAAACACATTATTTTGTATTTGTTTTCGTTAAGTACTGTGTAGGTCTTGAGTGAAAAATGGGCACTAAAAATGCAGGAATTAGCAGTGAAATTGCCCATTTTTCTACATTTTTTTATGCACCAGTTGGCTATTTTTGAAATAAAATGATAATTTTTACTATAAAACTTACTCTGATTTACAATATTTTACATACATGACTGTTAGAACAACATACATACCAGAAGTTGATCGTTACATGTATGCACCGCTTCTGTAGTAGTTAGAGGCGTTAATTGGTTAACAGGGTCTTCATGATTTTGAATATCATTTAAAACGCTATTAACACTATTCTCAGATCCGGTTTGAACATTTCCCTAAAAATACGTCAAATCTATGTACAGGGTTCTAAAGATTCATGGAAATTAATTTAGGTACTGTTAAAATATCAGGCATATTTTTTTTTAGCTGCACAACTTATAGAACCGTTAAGGGGAATATGTATTTATCCAACACTTATATTTGTACATTTTCGCTAAAGACAAATAGTTCTTGTAAAAATTTGTATGAAATAGGACGCACGCCTGTCGATGATAGAAAGCGAAAAAATCGCTCTGAAAGTATTCAGTCAGACTCGAGTTTCAATAATGTTGACATTTTACAACTGCATTAGGAAAATTACTTTTTACTACATACCTGAAGATTGTGGTCTAACGTTGAGAGTTGTGGGCTAGTTTCAAGTGGTCTTAATTCTTCAAGCACACGTTCTTCAAAATTTTGATTATCATTTTCCATATGGTTGTCCTAAAAATTCGTTAAAATTTTATAATTGAGTTCTGTCCAATTTTCGGATTAGGATGAACTAACCCAATAATTTTAAATTTAATGAACGTTTTTTGATGGTAACTAGTTTTTTAAACACCAAAAGACGACTGCCCTTGGTGCCATGTTTTAAATGAAGTACAATATTTCTATTCAATCTTCTTTATAACATCTTAAATAAGAAAAAAAAATCTGCGGCAGTGAAAGTCCTTTTCTCAAAAAGTACAATTTTTATTAAAAACAATTAATGAAATTTAAAGCTGTTTGTGTCCAAAACCGAAAAGTTTCTAAAAAATTCCCTTCTGAACAGCGGTCTATTTAAAAATAATTTTATCTGACTTACAGGTGGGTACTCTAAATTAACTCGTATGATTTTTGACGAATAATATACTAATAATTTTAACTTTTATCTACGTCGAACAGTGGACTTTATAATTTTTTTATATATAAGATATAAAACAAATGCAATAAGGGTCGGTATCACCAATGTTAGTTAAATTTAACGGATGATTAACTACTTAGATATATTTGTTACAACCATACCAACAATTGTTTTTAACGAATGATTAAAGTTAACTGAAATTGTGAAATCCATCTTAATTGTATTAAATCGATAATTCAAATATACATACCTTTTGATTACAGTATGAGTTATTCAATCTTTGAGCCAATGGTATTTTTATTTTCTTTGCTGCTTGCCACTTTTTAAAATGTGACCACGGGTCTTCTGCATATTGGTCTTCTAAATAATCATAATTATATTCGTCCGAGTGTTCGTCGGATTCATCTAGTTTCACTGTTAAAATGCGACGAGATTAACATTAACATTGTAATAATACCATTCTTATTTTACTTTACCTTCGTTTAATGGTACATTAGATTTTCCACTTCTGGCCAAATATACTAAGTTTTTTCCACGACTTATCATGATGTCGAAAAATTTTGCTTACATCACCACTGACTATCCACTCAAAACACCAAAACTCTGAAAAACTACGTAAATGCACGTGCAACTGGTCTCTTTGCGCAGACGGGCCAGACGTAACTCTGGCAACGTTACCGGATCTCATGTTTTGCGTTTTACATCAATGTATACATTTCTGGATCTCGACTGGTTGTGTTTCTACAAATGATCTCGTTTTGCACAAATTTTGTCAAGAAAATTAAATGTTAAAAATGTTTTCCCCTCTGTGGGGGTGCGAGTTAGACAAGGTATTGAGGCATTTTTTGTGAAATATATACTTTAAAAAGTATTTTTATTATAGTGGATCTCAGGTTGTCCAAAGTTTATTCGGATCTCTACTTGATACAAATATATATATATATATATATATTCATCTAGCAGGCAGTTTCGCATAGGGTGCTCATGTGACAACAGCGCAATTCATGCCGTCTTGGTTTATATCTTAGCTACATCTCACCTGAAATGACAGTTTGGCCACTTGCTCAGTGATAGCAGCACGTAATTTTGCTAGCTTCGTTAAACACTGTTTTGGCTAAATTGTAGAAAACTATGCATCATTGCAAGTGTTTACAGCCATTGTAGTTTGTAGAGGTCAGTCAAATTTTTATTTTTGTGTGAACAGTGTGGAATGGAACTTACTCGAAATCATAACAACACGATAAATAGATTTTTATCTACAATAATAAATATAAGTGAGTTTTCTAAATTGACAGTGGATATTGAGATATTATCAAGAAAGATTTGGTTTTCTCACCAGTTCAGTGCAAGTTTTATAAACGCGATGTTGTTAAACAAATGTTTTAATGTTTACTTGCTAAGGTTATACTTTCTAATTAGTAGGAAGAATTTACCATCCTTCAGCTTCCGCAGCAAATTCACTGGAGGAATACCAGTTAATAATCGAGACTGGGAGTGCTGCCAACATCTGAAACTGTGTTAGTACTTCTAAACCCTTGAAGAGAAAAATGGGCTGTAAAGACAGCATTTTCGGTTAAAACAAATTTCCTGTCCTTCAGATTCAATCGACAATTCACCAGGGGAATATCTCAACCAAAGTTGATTTTATCAAAAACTTTGAACCAGAAATAAAAAGTTGAGAGATGCTTTTAACCCTCTCTGTGAGAAACAGACAGTGAAGTTTTTCAATGTTAGTTAAGTTTTCTCAGTTGGTGGACTGACAAATAAATGTGTGGAAACTATTTGAAAAAATTAGATGAAAAAACAGTTTAAAATTTGTGTAAATGTAGAAGTTTGGTTGGAAACTATCTATAACAAACAAATTTTCTGTTCATTATTTTTTGTAAATTGTACTCATTAAATGTGTTGTTAAACTTCCATATTTATAAAAATGTTTTTCTTACAATTCAGGAAATTTGGCACCTTCGTTATTTATGTAGTTTTTATAGTAAAAACATTTATTTATAACACATTTTGTATCTTTTTTTTAATTTTTTGTCTACTTTGAAACAAAATTATTATTTTATTTAGATGGAATCGCAGCATTAGAAAAAAGCGAAATCTTCCTGTGTGCCAAACTTCCCTCCTGTCAAGAGATGTTCGCGTAAATGCGCAAGTTCGGGAACCTTCTGAAAATATCAAAACATAATGTATTTTCAAAAAATTAAAAGGAATATGATTAGAGTCACTGATGTATAGGTTGTGCTTTAAGACTTTTTTTTATTTTTCTAATAAAGTTAATATAAATAGTCTGGAGCCGTATATTTTTTTAACCTCATCTCAAATACATATTGTGTAAAATTGTTTTTTTTTTTGTATTTATTATAAATACATTTAGCATCATGTTTGCAAGATTTCGTCAGTTAGTAGAAGTTTAATGCAACTGAATAATTTAGTGTGTGCCAAATTTCTTGATTGGTAAAAAAAATTTCTATAAAGAGGCAACATTGGCAACTCCCTTATAATGAAAAATTAAAATTGAATGAAGTGGATGATTACTAGGCTTTTTTACTTTCCGAACGTAAGTGAAGGAATCCATCGGGCGGCTTACCAGTTTCATGTTTTCTTTACGTTTCATGACCCCCCAGAGTACAAAAAAAATAGTCTACCGTTTCTGTCTGTCCGTCTGTATCGATTTTGATTAGACAGATAATCTCCTAAACTACTGGATCGATTGTTGTCAAATTTTGTTTGTATATTACGAATATCATGTAAATGGTAAAACGCGAACCAAAATTTGGTTAACCATCCCCACCAACAATTTGATGACGTCTGCTCATTATGCTGCATAGTCAACATTACCAGAATTGTATGAAATGATATACTCTTGTATTTGTGGTTTACAAATCTTGAATTTGTGTATGATTAAACTTTGACTTTTTTTTTAAATTTTAATGAAGTATACTGTTATAAATAGCTTTTAGATGTTTTTGTCAATAAGTATGTAATTTCTATTAAAGTTGATATAAATAAATTTTACGAGTATATTTTTGGAACCTCAAATGGTGTGTAAAATTTCTTTTGGTTTTTTATTATGCATTTATTCTAAATAATTACATTAAGTTATTTTTTTAACATTTCGTCAATTAGCAGAAGTCTCATGGGCTTGAAAACCTTATGCGTGCCAAACTTCCTTATTGATGAGAAAAAAATTTGCAAATACGGAACTTTGGAAACTCCTAATAAATTTAAAAAAATCTTTTATTTTGTACCAGCCATTAAAAGTAGGTCGTTTGGCCTTATGTTTAGTAGATAAACAAGTCTTGTTTACCGGTAGATAAAGGAGTCTTTTATCTACAATTTATTTTGTTATTTGTTAAGATTACAAATTGAAACCAAAGTCAAACCAAGACAACACATGTATTAGCCAACACGTTTGCATTCGCCGATGCGCGACGCAGCGTATTAAAAATATTACGTACAGCACATTCGAACAGTTTTAAAGTTTTAGTTAAAATCTGGTAGAAAATAAAATAAAATATTACACTCGATGATAAAGAATGTTTATGTACTCGTGAAAAATAGTCCACTAGTGAATGATCACTTTTCTCTTGTAGATAATAAATAACATTTTTTTTTTCAAAAAAAGACTAAATGAATGGAATAATGTGGATAACTACTAGAACAATATCTTCCTAATTTTATTGGAGTGAACTAATATAAATACACGTTTTATTTCCATAAGATGTGTGATTACGATCAGGGTCATAAATTCAAAAAATTGGTCTAAAGAGTTTAGACAGTACTTCCCTCGCTCTTAGAACCGTGTCTCTATGTCTGTCATAGTTTCTTCTCATTACAGTTCTGTGACGGGCCATTTTAATAAAATCGCTTTCAGTCTGAAAGTCGCGGCTCGTTCTTAATTTGATCAAAAATAAATTGACTAATTCATAAATTTTTTTGAGTCACCCTGTATAAGCGAATTTAAAAAATATGAATCCAACCATAAATTACAAGTATAGTCTGATCATATTTTGCATATTTTCGAAAGGATTTATTTGGCAAAATTTTGACATGACGTAATCAATTTTTTGGGGTTGATAAACAATTGATCAAAAATTTACCATGCTTAGGATAACTTTAAAACATGTCCAAGATTTCAAAGCATTCGGTTCTGTAATTCCTGATTAAATCAATAAAATAAATTCACGCATTCATTAATTTTTTTGAGTCACCCTGTATATGCAAATCCAAAAAATATGAACGGAATGATAAATCACAAGTACAGACTCATTATATTTTGTACATTTTAGATAAAATGTATTCACCAAATTTGGGGTGACGTCATCAATTTTTTTAGGGGGGATGAGCAAATACATTTTGATAAAAAATTTGCCATGCTTATAATAACTTTAAAACATCTCCAAGATTTCAAAGCATTCGGTTCTGTAATTCCTGATTAAATCAATAAAATAAATTCACGCATTCATTAATTTTTTTGAGTCACCCTGTATATGCAAATCCAAAAAATATGACTGGAATGATAAATCACAAGTACAGACTCATCATATTTTCTACACAATAATTTGTGTTTATAAAAATCATTTGTCACGAAAAAATTTTCAGTATTTGAAAAAATCGAAAATCTTGGGTGTGCCAAACTTCTTCGCTGTTAGGAGAGATTCCCATAAATACGGAAGTTCGGCAACACCTCAAAACGTGATGTATGTATTTAAAAAAAATGAGAGAATGTGTACACTGGGGTAACTACTGCATAGATAATGCTTTTAGGCTTTTTTTTGATAACTTCTATTAAAGCTGATATAAACAGACTTTCGTCGTATATTTTTGTAAATTCATCTCAAGTGGTATCTAAAAATATTATTTCTTTATTATTTATTCTCAAAACTTAAAATAATGTTTTTATAACATGTCGTCAATTAGCAGAAGTCTCATGCGCGTCAATAATAAATTCTAGTGGCTGCCAAACTTCCTCATGGATGAGAAAAAAATCTATAAATACAGAATTCTGGCAACTGCCTAAAACATAAGATTTTTTTCTCAAAAATTTTGGAATTTTCTTTTGATACAATTACAGTTGTAATAAAAAAAATCTACGATAACTGACGTTTATTTATTCACTCTTTTTTGTCAAATTATAAACATGGACCACAGAATGGAAAAAATGTATTTATATATTTTCACTTCTCATTAGAATTTGAAAAAAAGTGATCCAACAGTTATCCACATGATTCCATCCATATTTTGCTTTTTTGAAAAAAATTGATTTTTATTTCTAGGAAGTTGGCAGAATTCCGTATTTACAGGAATTTTTCTCATCAATAAGGAAATTTGGCACACACAGTCAGGACCGTAAACGCCGTACTTGATTATGTAATGCTCGAACAGGTCGATTTTTTATTCAAGGGGTACGTATAACGTTGCTATGTTCGGGAGGTCATTTTCTACATTGATTGCGTTGGCTTGGCATTCTTAACGAGTAAGTAAAAAGTGGTGATAAGAGGTGATATTTTAAATGATTTTTCATATTACAATTTCTCAGGAACCAATCCACCGATTTTAAAAAATCAAACACTGTTAGAAGGAGAATTAACAGGGTTTCCCCACAAGATGCTCCATCTGTTTTGTTTTATTTGGGCCACCTTGTATATATTTTGTTTTATAGTAATCCAGTCCATCTGGCAACTTGTCAATTTCATGTTTTCTCGACCTTTCATGACTC